ATCCTGGGTGAATGCTCAAATCACTAGGCTACTGGGTAATAAACAGGCATCACCACCTCCCCACTCTCCCTGTTTTAATTTGCTTATCTTCAGAAATTCTGTGGGTCACAATCTGAAAATGTGACTAGGTATTATGAATCTGAAAGGAACTGAGATGCATAATGGATACCTGGAACCCTTGGTGTTTCCCATCCGCCACCTTGAAGTGCCTCTGGGTTTCCACCTCATTCCCTGCAGAAGACCTCAACTCATACACATGAATTGCTCTTGTTTCTCAAGTTTCTCCATTGATTCTATAGGGATTTCCCTCCTAGGGCACGGGCTCAAAAGATGGGTCCTGCTCTGTCTAGGATTAGATGCATACCAAGATAATGTGACTCCTAGCTTTTGTGAGGGTTTTTTTTTTTAACCTAGACCTTCTTGTTTTTGGAGTTTTCTGAGCTCAACTGGTAAATGTATATGATGGCACAAGGGTGATCTAATGAATGTCCATCTCCTTCCAGTTTTAACAGTTGCGTTTGTGAAGTTATATACTCTTATATACTCTTTTGAAGCCAATGATGGGCTTGCTTCTGCTTCATTGAATTCTGTGGAAATTTGGACAGACATTGCTCAGGGATGATCTAGGAGTAGCTATGCCTATACTCTCCCATGGCTATTTCCCAGGTTTCTGGACTTTGCTGGTTGCCATGTGGGGCTTGGAAGAAATGTATTCCACTCCTGCTTCTGTATGTATTGAGAGGGGTGGGGAGGCTGCCCTCCTCACAAGCATTGGGGGTTGGCTGCACCTGAGGCTGAGACTTTTGGCTGAGGTATGGCAATTCTCCTGACTTAAACCTGGAGCTTCCTGGCTAGAGGGTCTTGCCCTTCCACTCAGGGTCAGAATTATCTCCATATTTAGGGTCAAGAAGAATTTTACCCCATGGTCAGATTGATGTAGACTATGAAGGTTTTTGTCTTCCTCTGTAGAGAGGGGCATGGCCTTCTTCCTTGGATTTTGAGTGTATTTTAACCATCACAGCAGGACATATGGGTGCTGTAGTCCTCCCGCTTTACTGGTGGCAGGTTATGGTGTTATGTCTTGTGCTTATGTCAAGATTCACAGTCTAGTTTTACTATTAGGCTGGACAATGGATTTGTACAGGGTCTTTGAATAGGGATGATCTTGCCTCTAGCCAAGTGTTGGATTAGATCTCTGGAGGTCCCTTCCCAAACTAATTTTCTAAGATGCTACAATTCCTACTTGAAATCTCAGGGTTTACCTTGTAAAATATGTGTAGGTGTTTGCACACCTCATGGTGTTGTTTTTGCATAGCATCCAAAGGGTCCTAGTTGAGGATTACTGGTTCTATTAGCAGATGCTGTCACAGTGCAATGGAAACCCATTAAATTTTATTTGTATTGCCTGAGCTGATGTTTCCTGTACTGACTTGTAGCATGCTTTTTATATCACCCTTTTCAAGCTACACTTTAAGTAATCCTTCTTTTCCTTTGGTTGTTAGAAACTTTAAGTACTTGCCCACAGTCCTGCTTCCCATGTAGCCCTCTAATGGAGCAATATATATTTAACGCTCAGTTCCTTCATGTTAGACACTCCTCCAGCCTTCTAATGTTTTCTGTTTTTTATTACCCCTGATCTCCAGTTTTACTTTTGCTTGTCTCAAGGAGACCACAACTGTATGCTGTATTAGTTGTATGAAGGCAATAAATATTTATCATGAAAGACAAGTTTCTGCAAGACAGACTTAGAGTGCATTAAATAAATATAAATTTTATTAAAAACACCCACATCTCAGCATTATCAGGAATGATATAATAATAAACAGCTTTCAAATAACCTGCATTACATTACAATACTTACAGTATTTATAACCATCCTCAGATTTTATAGACATACCAAACATTTCATGAAAATGAGTGAAACTAAAGTAAAAAAAAAAAAAAGGTAGAACATAAGCATAGAAAATGCACACAGAAGTTCATTACCTTAGTGTCAAACTGCTAAAGTTTCCTACACAAGTTAACCACTAGCTTTAGAAGTGAACTTTACACCACTGTGCGTCAATCAAGATGAAAAATTCATTCAAGTAAAGTTGACACCACTCAGAAGCATCTTCAAGTATGGCTATAGTCAACCTGATAATCCTATACAAGCAATTTTAGGTCTGCTTTTTTCATTCACTCAAACTGAGGCAGGGTCTGTACACCAGAATTACAGTTCAGATATTTACAATACACAACAGAATTGCCAACTTATCTTCCTGCTATTGTTTGCCAGCAGTTTGGCAAATGACAGTGTATGGTATATTAACCAAACATCTACTATGGATGGCATGATGCATGTATGACTCAAAAAAATTAAGAGGATTACATTTTAAAATTATTTAATTAACCTAATATGTAAGGTAACTATAATTAAGGTTTTAAAAACTTGAAACTTTTGTTTCAAGGCAAACAAACATTTTTTAAAAGAATGTTTGTCTTTACAGTGGGTAAAGTCACAGACTAAGAATTTCTGAAATTGCCATAATAAATATTTAACCAATAAAACCAAAAGGCCTCCTTTGATTTAATAGAATTATGTTTTAATTCTGCTAAACAAAATTTCTTTAGCTCAAACTTAATATCTTACAGTATATTGCACAACATATGTCCAAGTGATGGAGGTTTACGTGTTTAGGGAAGCCCTCATACAGACTGTACCTTTTTCATTTTATTAATTACATAATCTGAGAAGCCTTGTTTAGAGAGTGACTTGAAAAACTCTAGCAAATGGTCACTTGCCAAACCCCTGCCTTACAATTTTCCCTTTAATCAGCTCAGTGCATTCTACTTTCTTTTTTTTGTTTGTTTGAAACAGGCAAAACATTCTAAAACTTTTAAACACTTTCATTACAATAAAAAGAGCTAACAAATTTACAAAATTAGTTTTAGTTACACCAATACATATACAAGTAAAATTAGAGGAGGGATTCATAAGAGAAGAGTTAAATCCCTGAAAAAACATAAAAACCCCAAGAATAATATATTTATTAACCTACAACAGCTTTACATACACACAGGTGACATGTTGGCATAAGGAGAACATGAGCTGAAATATCCCTGAATTTTTAGAACAAAAAAAAGTTGAAGTTCAAGTTATACTTGCTAAAATATCAAGTACTGAGAAAAAAAGTTTTTTTTTCAAAGATGGTATACAATATCATAAACCTTCACTCTCAGTTCAATATCCTATTGCCAAACTAGTGTTGAGGTATATGACAAGTAGGAACATCACTCAAACCTTTTAATGTACTTTTAGCTCACATTATGATATATTTGTAGCAGGCTGAGTAGCACCATGATGTGAATTCAGCTCCAAACCCAAATATATATATTTATATATTTATATATATATATATATATTTAATATTTTACAGTACTAAAATACTAAAGCATTGCATTAAAAAAGTTTTGTTTACAATTTAATTTACTATACAATTTTTACTTTTTCTTATACAAATTAATGATTTAAAACCATCACAGCAAGCCAGCTGCCTATTGTTTTTCTATTTAATCAACGGAATCACACAGAACTAACCCTGTTTCATTCATCTTGTGTAGGCATCAGCCTGCTCAATCTTCCTGGAAAAGAGGACATTTACACCGAGAAATAACATACGCCACAATGTACGTAATTACCAACACAAAAGCAATCTGCCATTCAATATTTGAAGAACACACAGATCTTTAAAAACAGCAGAAGCCTAAGCTAACTAGTTGTAGATTCTGTCACATGCTGCTAATTATTACCTGTGGTTAATATAAAATTCTCGTCTTAAAACTGTACACATTTGAGCAATGAACTTGTCATAATAATTGTAGAAAACAGTTTACAGTATAGCTGTGTGAGATGAGCACCAGAAAAACATGTGTTTTGTGTACTAAATTATTCCCTTGTTGCCAGTAAGCCCCATTTCTACTGTAACTGACTGTATTAAAAATGGATATGTAGCTCACCAGCAGATATATGGCTGAAACCAAAAGTATTTAAACGCTTTATTTTCTTTTTAAAAAAATCTCTTTGTATTTTAAAATCAAAGTAAACTCTTTTTTTTAATGTCTCAGTACCTTAGCATTGTTCAAGTTGCCAAGCTTAGGTAGACAAAGTGCTTTTGAAACACTAGTTAAAAAAAATATCTCTCTTTATACTTTATTGTCCTTTACCAAGGACTTGACTGGATGAGCAAAATCCAGAGGTCTTTACAATTCCCATATGTTAAAAAGTAAGCTTGTTGTAACAACAGGTAAATCTGATATGCACACAAATGAAAAGGTCCACCCTATTGTTGAAGAACATTTCAGTACACCATTGACATTTTAACTATTATAAAGGCATTAACTGTTCAACTGTTATAATAAAGACACCATTCTCATAGATAGCACCATGTTTTAGAATATCCAAACAAATTCAGTGTTTTGCTGTCTATTCATTATGTTCTATATGTATCTACTTTGTTAAATAAAATCAAGAGAATATTAAGATTACAGTAAAAACTGCATGTTAAAAAGCCATAATTCCAGTATTTCAGTACATCATAGATTCAGCACCAGATGGTATTTTAAGATTCCTGCTGTTGTAATACTACAGTATTATTTTTTTTTTGCTCCTGTTCCATGACTATGCAAACTTTATTATTATTAAAAGTGGTCACAGATGTGCAAAAATGTAAGGAAAAATTAGGTCAGCTGATTATCCCTTCCAATAATGAAGCCAGTGTTTCCGAATGTAAATCGTGAAACACTATTTTTTTTTTTTTTTTTTTTC